ATGCGTGGGATACAGGGGCAATGGGAGGACACGGGGCTTCCTGGCAGGTGCACTGCATCGAACAAAACTGGAGCACCATGCCAAGCTTGCACAAGACCACCTGTTCTTACCCAAATACGCCTTCCTGACCTGGTTACCACTGCACTAGCTGTACAGTTTGGGGCCCCGATGTTTCCCTTTCCCATGTTGCCGGCCCATCCCCATTTTTTTTGTTTGTTTTTTTGTTTGTTTTTATTTTAAGATTTTATTTATTTATTTGACACAGAGAGAGAGATCATAAGTAGGCAGAGAGGCAGGCAGAGAGAGAGAAAAGGGGAAGCAGGCTCCCTGCTGAGCAGAGAACCCAATTAGGGCTCAACCAAAGACCCTGAGATCATGACCTGAACCTAAGGCAGAGGCTTAACCCATTGAGCCACCCAGGCGCCCCCCATCCCATCCCCGGGTTTCTAACAGTGACTGCTTCCGATAGCCCCTCAGATTGGTGGAGTGTATCCCACAGGCCCCAATTCTCCCTGATGAAAGGTTCCAGCTCTGAACAGAAACTAGGTTCCCCCCCCCAAGGCAGGACTGAGCTTTTCTTAAAGATGACAGTGCGCCTAGCTTCTAAGGGTCACCGGGGTGGGCTGTGCAGAATGTGTGCGTTACTGAACAGGGGGCAGGGGGCTGACTGCCCATGGTACTCAAGGATGAGCGCTGAAGCTCTAACACGCCACCCCCTAGACACAACCGTGCTTGCTAAATTATTAAATTGCACATGGGGAAAAAGTCCTCCCACTACAGAACGTTATGTGTCCAGTAAGGGGCCCCCGAGCCCGGGGGGTCGAGAAGCCAGCAGCCCCCCGTTTTCCTCTGCACCGAGCTGGGCTCTGCAGCCAGTGCAGCTCCAGGCGAGCACAGAAGGAGCCCCAGGACGGCGTCCAAGCAACACAGGGTCAACGGCAGAGCTGCCCCGGGCCCGGGCCCTGGCCACCAGTGCCCCGCACTTCCGATGACTGCCATAAAGTCCCAAGCTTTGAGCCATTAGCCACTCCCAGATACTGCTCTGCAGATAGAAGGCTGCTTTTTATCAGTGAAGGTTCAAGTCCCTGAAATGACTTAATGAGAAAAGGAAGGAGCCAGGATGGCAGCCCGCATTTTATGAAAGGAGTGGCCCTAGAGATTCAGGGGGAGCTATCCCGCAAGCATCCGAGAGCCTGCCTCATGCCCAGTCCCCGCTGGACACCAGAAAGGCACTGAAGACGACCTCCCATGCTCTCCGAGGTCCCCTGGCCCGGCCGGGGCTGCCACGTGGAACTCAAGGAAGCCAGTCCCTCGTAAAGCCCGCCTGCTCCCTCAGGAATGGGGAACAAGTTACGTGAGCATGGCGCCCGCCGCCAGCAAATGTTAGTGGTTCCTGCTGTCCTTTTAAAGACCAACAGAGACTCAACTTATGTGAACTCTCTGGAGACTATGTTCATGTTTGCTTTGCCTCAGGCAAAGAGGACTTTACAGTTCATTGCTGTGATGCCCGCTGGGGGCACCCGACTTCTCCACCTTCTCTTCTGAGCCCACAGTCCGTGTCCACGCCCGTGAATCGTTTTTGGTGAATGACACAATCTCGCTTGAGGGTGGCTACTTAGTCATGGAAAGGCTGCCTGTCCAGCAAGGTGGAAAATCCGTTTAAACTTGCAGACATACCTTGTGACAGCAGAAGACACCCAAAGAATGAGAAAAATAATCAGCCCGAGAAATAGTCTTCCTTAGTGGGTGGGGCGGCGGCAGCTGAATAGAGACGCACAATTTTCTTCTTTTGTATTTTAACAATAACTAAATTCGACTGGAAAACAAAGCGCTTCATCACTCTGGTATCAAGGGTCGCATGGCTTCGGCTGACCTAAGGCTTTCCCTGTAAAAAGATGTTTTCTGCTCCACTATCAAAGCTGCTTGGAAATCACCCGGGGGCACCTGAGGGGCTCAGTGGGTTCGGGTCTGACTCTTGATTCTGGCTCAGGTCATGATCTCAGGGTCCTCAGACTCTGCCCTCAGCAGGGAGCCCACCTGGGGTCCTCTCTTCCCCCTCGGCTCCTCCTCTCTCTGTCTCTCTGATAAATACACACGTATATAAACAAAATCCTGAACACTTGGACTTCCATTTACAAGGCCCCTGGAGAGCATGGCCTACTGGGAAGGCCCCGGGACTGAAAACGGACAGAAGTTGGTTTAAATCCTGCCCAACGCCACATATGAGCTGTGTGACCCAAACCAGGTCACTTATGTCTTTGTAGCTCTTCCTCCAAGCCTTCAAAACGAAGACGACGTGTCTGGGAGCAAGGTGACTGGGACTGCAGAGAACAGTAAAGTTCCTGGTACACAGAACAAGCCCAACAAGTAGTAGCTACGCTCCCTGCCCCCCGCCCCGGGGAATCTGACCAAAATTTCACGCCTGATTGGAAACCCCGACATCAAGACTTGCAGATGCTGCTCCCCTGGATCTCAGGTAGGAGCAAAATTCTCCCTAGCGCAGGGAGAGCACGTCCTGGCGAACTCAGAGTCGGGCTAAAAATGGCAAAAGAAAAGAGCTGAGTGTCTCAGGCACATCTCTAGCAACGAACTTGCTGAGGGCGCCTGGGAATGCGCGGCCGCTGAGACCAGACCCCGGGCCCAGGTCGAGATGAGCTTCCTCAGAGGGACGAACACCCAGATGCTCCATCGGTCTAAGGACGAAAGCAGGGCATCGTGCTTTTCACGAAGGCCAAGAAAACCCCAAGTCAGAGGCCTTCTCTGTACCACGGTGAAATGCAGGGCACAGGGCTCTCCCTGGGCCGCCCAGATGGGCACCTCCAGTGCCAAGCGGGCTTCCCATGGGATTGGGATTCTCGGAGGATCGTCTTCCACTGAGCAGAGGACAGGGGCGCTGCCGGCCTCTGCTGGAACCACGCCCAAGGGCTGAACCGGGCTACGGGGCAGAAAATGCTGATTCTACAGGTCAGGTCATCATCTCGGGTGCCCACACATCATCACCAGGTAGCTGAGCAAACTCTCCGAAACAGATCCCAAAGAGTGGACTCTTACACAATTTTTTTTTCAACAGACACAGCAGCACTTTGTCAAGTAACCGTGAAACTCTGGCCTTGAAGCCGGGTGGTTCAGAGACTAGTTCCTCTTCCTTTGCCAACGCTGCACTACCAAGACCCAGATTAAGATTCAGGCAAGATGCTTCCTAGCTCATGCTGGGGCTGGTCTCCAGAAGCATGTGCATTTCGCGCCTTGCGCGCGCTGTGTGACAGGGAAGCCACTCTCGGCCGCACCACGACCCCATAGGACTCCACGTGGCGCACCTCTGGGTGTTCGTTAGAGTCACGTGGGCTACATCCTCTGTTTCACTGCGTTTTCCCAATCTGGGCCTTAGCTCTATCACAACATTCTCCTCCTCCGGAATGTTTACATCGGGGCTCACTACTAGAACACCGGATCAGACAGAACAGCCTCCTTTCCCTGGCTTCCCTCGCGGAAGCAGACGCAAAGGGGGCCCTCGGGGTGGGGGCGGGGACTGGCGCCGCGGTCCCGCCCTCAATAGGACGAGGCTGGTCTCGCCGGGGACTCGGGCTCCTGAGACGCTGCAGACGTCCGAGCGCCATCCCTCACCTCCTGCACGCGCGGCGCCGTGTGCCAGATGCCAAGGGCCAAGGGCGCAGGGCGCCCAGGAGGCGACTGGCCGGGCATCACGTAGGCGCGCGGCGGGCGGGGCTGCGGCTACAGCGCCCCAACCTGCCGCCCCCGCGTCAGCCCCGCCGGGCTCAAGGGCAAAGGCAAGGTCACGCGCGCGGGGGGCGGTGGGCGGTGGGCCAGGGCGCCGGGTGCAGCTCCTGAGCATCCCTCCACCTGGTGTGGCTGGGAAACCTGGAAAAATCAGGCACCAGGGATAGGAGGAAGACGAAAGGAAAACCAAACGCAGCTCGGGGAGGCGCCTCCAGCCTGGGCGATCTTAGGCTCCAGGGACGCGTCGGCCTGCAAAGCGGAGATCACTCTAGCGGGCGGCTCACCCCTTCCAGGAATTTACCAGGATCAGGAAAACCCACCGCCTGGGAATCCCTGTGGCCCCATGTGCCGCAGCGCCAGGAGCCCGGGCGTGGCCTTGTCACCCCTCCTTCAAATTTAGATACTCTCTTTGGGTGTCCGCGGGCCCTGGGCTTGGGTCCCCTTCTCCTCCAAATCTGCCTCCACATGGTGGGGGAGGAAGGCTGGACTCCGCGCCCGGGTGCTGGTGACATCCCGGAGTCCCTGCTTCCTGGTCCTTCCCAGCCAGAGGAGGCCGGCGGGGCGGGCCTAGTGACCCATTTCAGTTTTCGGTTTTGCCAGGAGAGCGGCGGAAACCTTTTAAAATAAAAAGCCTCCAGCGGAAACGAGGCCGCTGGGCATCCCGGGCAGGGTCCCCGCGAGCCCCCACCGCGCTCCACCCATGCAACAGCGGGGACCCCGCCCGCGCCGCGCGGGGGACGCGAATCCGCGGGGACTCGCGGCGGGGACCCAGCCGTTGCTTCCACCCGGTGGGGGCGGGGTGCGGGCGGGGTGGGGGCCGGAGCATCCAGGTGGCCGCGCGACTCCCAAGCTTCCCAGGGGTGTCGGCCTCCGCTACGACTCGGACGAGAAATGACTTCCGAGGACCGTCCAGGAGACCCCAGCGCTAGTCTCAATTTAAAAACTAAACGTGGAGGGGGAGGGGGTAATTCATCTTCCGATAAAGGATCCTAAGGCCACATTCTTCCCTTCTCCTGACTCCCCCGTCCCTACCGCAGCGACTCCTCCCGAGGCTGCACCGCCCACTCCTGCCCCGGAAGGTACCCTGCGGTTCCCGGGCGCCGGGTTTCTCCCCCACCCTGCTCCGACCCGCAGTACCCCCTCCTCCTCGCTTCTTCCTGGGGCTCCCATCGCGTGTCCCCGCTTGCCCCGGGACCCCGTCGCCTCTTCCCGGTCCCTCCTCCCATCACTCAATGCCCCAGCCCGGTCAGGCGGTCGCGCACCTTGGGCATCCCCGCCGCTGGTCAGCACTCCGATGGCCTTGCCGGCCCCGGAGAGGTGCTCCAGGCACTTTCGGAAGGAGACCTTGCGGTTGGCGACATCGTCGTCGTCCATGGCGAGCAGGCCGAGACTGAGCTGGGGCGGGTGCTCAGCAGGCAGTGCCCCCGCCCGCGCCGCCGCGACTCAGAACCGTCCGCCCCGCCCGCTCGGCGCGCGCCAATGGCTGGCCAAGGGCGGGCTCCGGGGCGGGGCGGGGCGGCCGGCACGACGGGCGGGGCTGGGGCGGGGCTGGGGCGCGCCGCCGGCCAGTCGGGGAACTCTGCGGTGGGGGGTTTCCAGGGTGGGGGACGCCGCAGGTGGGGGGAGCCACGAGGGGAACGGGAGGACCCAGCGCAGAAGGTGGGCGGCAGTAGCACAGAGGGGGAGCGCCACAGGTTTGGGGGTGGGAGTGGACCGTCTCAGAGGGGCAGTGCTGCAGGTGGAGGGCGCAGCGCTGGTGGGAGGAGGATCAAAGTCCGCTCGGGAGCACCCGCGGGGGAAAGAAAAGCATGGCAGGTGGGCGGAGCCACAGTAATTGTGGGAGCATTGCGGGCGGCGGGGAGCGCCGCAGGTGGCGGCTGTACCCCGCTGGGAGGAGCCTCGCAGGGGGCAGACGTCACCGGCGCTGGGTAGGGAGCATCTCAAGTGAAAGGGAAAAGCACCACAGGTGGGTGGGAGCTTTGCAGGTAGGAGAGAGCTCCGGGGTAGGGGCGCGGGGTGGAGAGAGGGCAGCAAGTGGCGGAACGTATCGCAGGTGGGCGGAGCATCCTGGGTGGGCGGGATCGCAGCATGGAAGGGAGCGCCATAGGTGGGGGGCGCTGGGCCAGCAACTATTAGGGAAACAGAACCCCAGGGGAAACCCTCCCCGCAGGATTCCTTCCCCCTGAGACGCTCGGGCGCCCCATCTTTTTCTCCAGTTTCCCCAGGTTTCACCTGCGCCCTGAGGTTGGGGGAACGTGCAGCGGATGCTCCAGCTGGTGGCAAAAGTGAGGGTTGGTGACTGGGGACCATCAAGCCCTGGGCCTGACCCCCCTCACCCCCCCTGCTAGAGGAGGAGCAGGAAGTGACCCTGGAGATGGCCTGACTTACACTGTCAGCTGGACCTGGATGCAGAGAAGCCAGTGGGGCCCGTGGGGGGAGGGCGGGGGGCGCAGGGAAGATTTGGCTGGGGAGAATAGACCAAAGTTCTTACCTAAGGAAACTGACTTGTACCTGTGTTGTCAGCCGGGAATCTCCAAACGGAAAACATTCGTACCCAGTATCATGGGGGAAGGATGAAGGACCAGCGGACTTTTCACAGAGCTCAGCTCAATGCCAGTTACCTGCTTTGGGTATGGAGCCCATCCCTTTCAGGGGCCTAGGGTCACCAGGCACCCAGCACTGTGCTTGGAGTGCAGGTTACCCCAAGAAGAGTTTCAGAGATGCCCCGTTGACAGTTCATGGTAGGGATGGCACCAGGCCTCAGCCTACAGATAGAGGCTCAATAAATGTTTGTCTGGTGGATACAAGAGGGAAAAAGAGCTCAAGGCAAGACTTGTGGAGTTAACCGGAGACGTCTGTAATCGCAGAACCAACAAGCTATCTGCACAGGGCCACTCCGCCAAAAGATGGTGGTACCCAGAGTCCGCACCTGCCTCCTCCCAGCTACACCTGATCCTCTCGCTCATCTCTCTGAGCATCAAAAATTTATTGTAAGACAGAAAGAAATGCCTGCCTTCCACAAAGTTGGAGGTCTGACCTCTCCTGACCAGTATTATTGGTGAACCCCTCAACCCCATGGCCATCAGAACGACCCTGGCCTGGTTTTTCCCAGCCCCACCAGAACCACCAAAGCCCAGCTTTGGCATGCAACCAGGTAATATGCGTTTTTCTTAACAAGCTCCGCATGTGTTCTGATGATTACAAAGCCCGAGAGTGACTGCTCCAATGGATTGAGCCTGAGCAGCACAGGGGCGGCTGGAAAGGAACCCTGGGCCTTTTTGGGGTGGGGGGCAGGTGCCCTTCACTCTCCCAGGGCAGGGGAGGAGAACCAGGCTGCACCCAGAGGACCTGCACCCCCAGCCCAGGATCTGTGCTCTAGAATCACCCACTCCTGCCCAGAGCATCCTGCATTGAAAACATCCGGGCACGCTGAATTCTGTCTTAGCCAAAAGGCCTTTAACTTCTTATACAATTGGTGTTTTTGTGATGTTAAGTTAGAGATTGGCCATCTGTCATTGAATTGTCTGTAATATAGAAAACAAAGGATATAAACGGAGTCCGGTCATGACAGTGGGTTAAGTAGATTATGGCTAACAACATACACTGGAATAATTTTCAGCTGTTGTTACTATTATGAGCATAAACATTCACGGACATGGAACTATGTCCAGGATCTTTCCGCAGAGGCAAATGCCGTGAGCCCACGCATGTGCGTGCACACGTGTGGGCACATGTATGTAAACAGATCTAGATATGTCCGTTCTCTTTCTTTTGCTTATTATGGGTATTCTCTTATTCTGCACCCAACAAGTATTGTTTTGGAATAAATATGTGATAGTTAATTAAAAAACAATAAGGTTGAGATTCGTCAGATGCCCGAGGCTCTGTCTGTTTTGCAAAAGCTAAGGTCCATGTGTGCAGAGTTGTAGCTCAGGAGGGTCACCCATCTCTCTCCCCGAGCTGCGCCCCAGAGCCCTGACCCGTTGCTCAGGGTATCAGAATACCGTGTGCAGGGACCGCCAGCGAATGTGGGGAGACAGAGCCGTCTCCTTTCTTCATCTCTTGCAGTATATGTTTTAATAGTTCTTCAACCCCTGCAACTGGATGGTTGGGGGGGGAGGGTGTTGTTGTTTTCCTTTTTGTAACTTTGGCCTTGGAAGAGAATCTCTGATACAGAGGGGACGACCGCGTGCCCCACTGACTGCATCTCTTACCTCCCGCAGGACAGGACGTGTGCGCGATTTCTCCTTTGCTGCCTAAAAATTACCAGCACACGCTTCCATCACAGGGAGAATTGTCCCAGGGTCAGGAATGCAGGTGGGCTGGGCTGGCCCCTGCCCAGAGCCTGCCACAGGCGGCAGCCGGTATGCGCTGGGGGTCTGGAGGCTCATGGGAAGGCTCTGCTCCTCACACCCCACCCCCTACCAGGCTGCTGGCAGGATTTGTTTTCTTCTAGGCGGCTGGAGGAAGGGTCCCGGTCCTTCCGGCCTGCAGGCTTTAACTCTGCCTCTCATCTTGGCAATTTCCTTCCCTTCCAGGCGTCCGGCTAACTTTGAGCTAATCTGCAACCACACGCCATGGTCTTGCCTTTTCCACAGGCCTCACGGTCCCTCTCCTCCTTCCTAGAACTTGGAAAGTCCACACACCAACGCTCAGTCATCCGCTAAACTAGGGAATGCGGCCAGCACCCCTGCCTCCCTGGGCCGGGTATCACTCAGTGTCCTTGTCCAAATTTAAAAATAATTCTGCTCTGCGTCTGACAGCTAAGCTTTAAGTTATATATAGAACAGTTGTATGCTCTCCAAGACTATCTAGCAATGGGGGGGAGGGGAATTGAGGGGAGAAACAGTCTCACTATTTCTCCAAGTGTGTGTAGTTCAGAGTTTTGATCCTCTGGGCATCTCCATTAGTAACCCGGAGCCTCTCACTGAATAACTTCATGTCCTTTGAAGTATGCTGGTGCAGTTTGGCTAACGGGGACTTCCCCATACTTCCAGCACGGTGAGCATGACAGGAGGCCACAGCCATGCATGCGGCATCCTCAGTGAGTAGGTGGAGGGGTTGGTCTGTTGTCCTTGAGGAACATCATCTGAGCCTTCCCGTGCTTGTTGGCGCTTCATCCCTCAGAAAGCAGAGGGCAAGAAGGACGGTTGTCCTGAAGCATACATTATAGGGGGATTGCCCAGTTAGAAAAGCGATTGGGATTCTAGCCACATGACAGAGTGATGGATACCTTCACGAAACGAGCCAGACATTCCGTTACACAGGACTCTGGGCATGTCTCTGGCTAAGGTTAGCATTTGACTCTAGCGAAATCAGAGAAGCAGATCTCCCGCCCAGATGTTGGGGGGCTCAACCCATCGCCTCCTGAAGAGACTAGAAAGGCAGAGGGAAGGAGAATTTGCTCTCTCCGCTTGAGCTGGGACACGCTGTTCTCCTGCACTTCTGGTCCCTGGCCTTTGGGTTTGGACTAGAATCACACTCGTGGCTTTTCTGGTCCTCCAGTCTACACATGGGACATCATGGGACATCTCAGCGTCCATAGCTGCCTGAGCCAATCCCGTACGAGAAACCACCCGGGATGTGTGTAAGGACACCCCATCGGTTCTGTTTCTCCAGAGCATCTTGGCTCGGACTCACTGCCTGATTAACTATGTGTTCCCCGTGAGCCGTGAGATGCTCAGTCTGAATACTGATTTGCAAACTGCCCCTGCCGACCTCTGTCCTCTGTTGGCGCTTGAAGGTTTGGGTGTATACTGCCTGGTTTGTAGGGCTCCTTATCAGAATTGAGAGGATGCATGCCCAAGGGCATTCAAGGGCCAACTGTCTGAAATGTCTGAAAACCGAGCAAACCACAGTAACCCATTTTCAGTTTGCAAACGGGCACGCAGGCCATGCGCGTGTTAGAGGCACGGGCCAGCATCCCGTGGGAGGTTTTAACAGTTGGGATAAACTTTCCAAGATTCCGATATAAGCCACAGACCTCCTCCGCCCCGAAGTACATACATGCTCATGGGACCAACACATGCTGCAAACATCTGAGGGGACTCCCGGGTCAGGGAATGGCCAGCGCTGGCCCAGGGCTGACGGCTGGAGGGCAGAGCCGGGGTCGCAGGCCCAAGGAGCAGACATCTCTGGCTTCTAATCGGTCCCTGGCTGCCCACCGGCACCCCCTCTTATCTTAGGAGGCCAAGCCTGGCTGGTGGTGTTTGAGCCCAGGCCAAAAAGGGACAGGGCCCTGCCCCCTGGGGAGAAAGCTGGGGGTCCTGGGCCTGAGTCTGTTACCACATTGGCCATTTATGCTCAGACCCCCCCTCCTGTCCCCTGCAGCCTGAGAATGACTTCAGAGCTCTGGGTTTCTCCCGCTGAGAGGGGGGCATGGGAATGCTCCTGAGGCACGGATCCCTTATGAGCC